TGCCGGGCCTGGTTGTCATCCCTGCCGCCGCGCTTGGCGCGGGGCTGGAGAATTACAGGCTGGCGCTGGGGCGAGCGCTCGGCCTTTGCCGAGGACGAGCGTTGGACCAGAAATGGTGTTGGTAGATCTGTAACAAAGGTCTCTGCCTAAATGCAGAAGGCTCTGTTTAAATGTATCAGTTAAAGCAATACAATATCCTTAGTGTGGGATGTTGCAAAATCCTGGGTGTGGGATGTGTTCCTAAAGGAGATGTATGTATATATTCATCCCGATATTCTCATGCAGGAAGTTAAATAAGAAGAATGATCCTTTAATACTGTTTTGGTAGGAAATTGCACCACTATCCAGACAGGTTGGTTTGTACACAGTGGGGTGTACAGGGTGTCCAAGTTACCTGGCTGTCGGTTATTGCAGTGCTTCTTTTGTCTCTGGATAATTTGTTTTTTTAAAATGTGGTGAGTGATATTATCAAAATAAACCAAAACATCAAAGGAAATCCTGACTATTAGAACAAGAAGAAATTGATACTTCGTCCCTTGTCTGATATGTTTTTGGTTTATGGCTTTGATTCAGATTCCTATAACTGAAATTGTTCTACGTAGTGTATTCATTATTGGAATTATTCCTTATTATCAACACTGTTTCTAATAATTGATGTAGCGGTATCCGTGCCAGCTGATACTGAGCTGGGAGATGCGTGTGATGCAGCAAGTAATTGCCCAGCGCCTGTGTCACACGCGTCACTGGGCGAGTTCCACGAGGTGCAGCCACCGTGGCATTAAATTTGGTGACGTGATTGAAAGGGATCAGGGAGAGGTGGAGGCCTGAGAAATTTCTCAAAGCTTCTTGAATGATTTCTTTTCCTGAAGTTCTCTAATCTCCACCAAGACCCTCTTGGGTATTACGATGTGGTTAGTAGCATCTAACAGAAATTGTCCTTGTCTAACCTAGGCTATGGGTTGTTGGTTGGGGACTCTACCTGATTAGCAGTCACAGAGATGACGCTTCCTGTGTTAGCAAGAAGTTGTGAAGGAAGATTGCTTTGGATTTTTCTCAATAACGGTCTGAATAACTTGGATTTAGGATTTCTATTTGGTGCATTAACTCTGGGGATGGGACTTATGGTATGTTGGGAACTCTTGTTTTACTGATAAGTAGCCTGTGATATGTTAGTAATTTGATCAAATGATAGTGTGGATAACAAACCATTGAAGTCCAGCAAATCCAACAAAGTATTATAAACCAAAGGAGAAATCAGCCAGCAAATCATGGAGGGTCCCTGGTGTCACGTCCAGGATGGAGTCCTGGGAATCCTAAGCCGTAATCAAGACCTTCTTTCTTCTGTTCCCTCTGAGAAAAACCCGAACAAAAGCACTTCCAAGTCATCTTCCTTGGTATATATGAAAACCCAAGGATAAGCAAGTCTTGGAAGACTTCACCTTAGCATAGCCCTGACTGCAATTTCTACTGTGGGAGTTTCCCCCCACCAGCGGGGGGGCAAGTTCTCAGACAGATTTTTGTCAGTGTGGTCTTCTGGAGCAGGGGACAGATTTCTGTTCATGTACTGAATGACTTCGTAGAAATCTTCATCTATGTTAACAAAAAAGTAAGAAATGCCTAATTCTTATGTAGGCAGCAAAGGGCAGGTGTCATCCAAGCAAGGCTTTCGTTACAGCCTTAGCCTGTAGCGTACTTTGAAGAGAAGCCGGGGAGGAACTCGCGCAGTAGCCTTGCAGAGATAAATGATGGTACAGACAGCTGAGATCTGTGTCGAAGAGAAACCGTGTGCTTAATAAACCAGTGGGAGAAGTGGTTATCTGTTCCTGAGCATAACTTTAACGTGGATCTTCCTTGCTGCAATCAAAGGCTAAGCTCTAAATTCTGCAGCTGTATGCCTTGAATTCAGCCATATTCTTCCAAATGCTTTGCAGCACTCTGAAAACCACTATGAGATATGTGCCAATTAGGAGGGAAGGATAGCATTAGCTGCAGCGGGGCTGTTGGTGGGATGGCAAGCGAGTCTGAGCTTCCCAGGGGCTGAGCTCTGCCGAGAAGGGAGCTCCTGAAGCACCCCAGATGCTCCGTTCAGTGCATGACACCAGTTTTTCCTTAAATAGCTTATGGGCTCAGTCCACAATCCTGCAAGGCGTTTTTTTGAAACTGGCAGACTGCTGTGCTCTTGCTGCCTCTGCAATGTAGAAAGGCCTTGATCCAGAAATGCGGGGGGAAGAATGGGGAATGAGACGGGGAAGGAGGAGCTTTACAGTAACATTTCATGCGGCCATTCCCTTGTACGTGTGTGTGTACTCTTTGGCTCTATTTAAAATGTCAACAGAGAGAGATGGGAGCTCCTGCCCTCCGTCTGCCTGCGTGTGGGTGTGCCTCGGCGCGTGCAGAGCTGGGCTGGTTTCCCAGAGGGGAGCTCTTCTGCACCGCGGCCCTTGGTGGATGGGCAGGGGTGGGCTGCAGGAATAGCAGCGTTCCTGGCCCCTTCCTGAGCCACCCCACGTGCGCCGTCACACAGTCTGAAACAGGAATATTTGGATCATGTGGAGGTGCATAAAAAGGCTAGGTTTGGCTCTGTTTTTTTTTTATCAATGGAAAATTCTTTATATGCTTTTAAAATAATGAAATGTGGAAGGTTGGTTTGTATATTAAAGGTGCCAAGGACTTAACAGCACAGCCTGTGAGAAACATGGAAACATCATCTGAGAAATGTACTTGTTGTAGAAGTGATTAAATATGTTGATGAACTTCAGCACTATTTGACAAATACTACCCAAGCATTAGACAAATGCGACACTTTTTTTCCATTAGGTTTGTTTTACGTGAAAAATGCTTATGAAAGCATTTTTCATTTGCTCTCTCAAATACTTCATCAAACATGCTCATATATAAATAAAACCTGCTTCTTGGTAATGGCTGTTAATCTGGCATCTGACAGTCAATCAGTCATATTGCTGCTGCTTACATCATCACTAAGAATGCGGTTTTGTAAACAAATATCATCCCAAGTGAAGTACACAGCAGACCTGCTCTTCCACACCTTCCTTTCATTTAGATCCCTGTGCAGGTTAAGGGCCACGTCACTTATAGGACTCAAAGTTTCAGATACAGTTCACATTGAAAGAGATGCTTTTGAGTGGTTGTAATTTTATTTGGGGATTCGTGAGTTTGGTTTTATTATTATTTTTGCCAGGTTATGATTTAAAATGTGAATAACAATGCTGTATAGGCTGCACCATATAAGCTGTCTTCATATATTTTTCATGTTCTTTCTGTAAGATAATGATTTTAAAAAGTTCAAGGTGTACGGTGACTTGCTAGTTTACGGTACTTCAGGGGCTATTGCAATGCTGTTCTTCAATGCTTCGGTTGCAAAACGGAGAAGGAGAAATATTTAGGAGTATCTATTCCTAAACTTTTATAGAAAACTGCTCACACTTCTGTAACTTTGTGATTCCCATTCCTGGAAAGTGTATGCTAATTTTATCAGCATCTCTAAGCAGCAATGTAAACTTCCAGCTTTTTTTCTAAACAATCTGTCTTTCCCTTTCAAGGACATCGTCTTCTGATTTCCTGATGGAAAGTATTTTATTATTCCTAATAATGCCAATAGTTCTCTCCTGCCAGAAACAGCCAGCTTTCTCCAGTGACACTGACCTTGCCCTGAGCAGAAAACTGGAGTAATGTGATGGCCTGAGCAGCCCCTTCCCTCCTCATCCATGTCTTTAAGCTTAATACCCAAAAACAGGGATGGTACCCAAAGAAACAGTAGATCACAGAACTGTGCAATGCCTGTAAAATTCTTTCAGGGAGGAACAAGTAAGTTAACTGGGAAAGCCCCAGTCAGAAGGACTTTTTACTTAATGAGCACTAGGATAATCTGAAAACACGTTTGTGTACGTGTTTGTATGTGCTCCGAGTGCTTTCTTGCTGGTACCCAACTAAATGGATTTGCCAGAATGGTTTTTTTTCAAGGTTGAGATTATTCAGTTTGAATGTTCCTTGTTAGGTTCACCACCCATCCTTCTGCGTCTTCTTTCCCTTTTGCTCTCAGTATGAATTGCGTTTTGTCATCCCAGCACGTGGGCATCCCAAGTCGGATATTTAGCAGCATGGCCCAGGACTTTGCGCCCTAAGCGTGGCCGTCTCTCCCCGCTGTACAAGTCCTTGGCAGCTCTGGGGGCTTTTTCTTTGGCTCCTGCGAATACGCAGCAGCCGTGCAGTGCCGGCGAGTGCCGGGCTTTCACCAGTGTCGCACCATGCCAACACAACCTGGTGCAGTAATAAGAGCGGGACAGAGAGGGTTCAGGTAGTGAACCCGTCCTGTCTGCATGTGACCCTGGGTAGGTTAATGAAACCTGCCTTGAGTCTATTAAAACACGATCTGCCATTGCAGCCACTCGTGTTTGTGTAAGGCACTTTGTAAGGATCGCAGATGTCATGTAGAGGATTTTAAAGCAGAAGTAATGAGCTTAGTAATGTATTCTTCCTTAATGAAGTTTAAGACATCATTGAAAAGTTTAAAAAAATAAAAATTATGGCAATGCAATATCTTTGCACGGGGTGAGAAACACCTGCCTATAAGAACGAGCACATGGTTCTGTGCTTGAGAAATGTCTGTGTTCTTACCAAAAGCTCCTTTTCTAACTTATTTCAACAAGCCATGGGCTGACACTTGCGCAATTAATGTGCAGAGATAACTGTCGCCGCTTAACATTCACGTTAGCCCGGGGTTTGGATTGTGGGGGTCTGGATTGTGGGCTTCTGCTCTGGGCCCGCCCGGCAAAGCACAGGCAGCTGCTGGGTGGTTTGTGGAGGAAAAAACAAGGTCACAGAATAGGTAAGAGTTAAATGCCAGCACTGGGGTTGACTAGGTGCCTTCATAACAAAAACTCTGGGGATCTTTGAATGTATGTGGGATAAAGATCAGCATTTGCTGATTTTTCAGGATTTCCTTGCTCAGCATTGCACGTTCTGGAGGAGGCTTCGAGACAATGACGTAATGGGATTCCTGAGCGCTGATAAACCTCCCCAGCTGAAGTGTTGCAACGTGGGACTCTGTTATTGCTGGTTGTAGTATTGTGTTCATTGGTTGGACTTTTTTTTTTTTTTTAAAAAAAACAAATTCCTTTACGTTGCATAGAAACCTTGTGCTAAAAGGCTATGGAGGGGACTCCTTAGTAGAAATGCTGGATATTCTTTACTTGAGCATTGATACTACTGATAATTGCCTTCAAAAACTTGCTCGGCAGGAAGTTTTTCTTTTGTTTGTCTAATTGTGTTTTCAGTTTGCTTTCCCTGTAATTCAGGGGGTTGTGAAAACTGTGACTCTAGCCAGGCAGGAATTTCACAAAACTGTTATTTTTACACAGCAGATTCTCCCATGCTCGCTCTTGCTTATGCTTGGAACTGCGTTATTTTTGGATTGATTCTCAAACCTTACAGTAACACAGCGTTTGTAAATTAAAATTGTTACAGCAACAAGTATCTTTGTGGTGGGAATGCTACGAGAGGTCATGGCTTTGATTGCAGAACAAGTACTAAATTCTGGGTAATGTCACTCTTGTGCAATTGCCCTCTACTTCCCTGCCTTTGTAGGTGCTGTCAGTACTGGGGGCTGCTGTCTCATTTAGAACTAGGCAAGCATAAGCAATTTTGTAGTGCTAGGTGTTAGCATTCACAGACTAGTGCGTTCATAGTAATTTGGAAAAGAAAATACTAAAAGCAATATAATTGTATGTAAACAGTTGGGCAGAGCGCACTCTTCTTTCGATTAGTTTGTGGGGTTCATTTGCCGTTTTCTTACATGTTCATCAAGAAAATGATGATAAGTTGTTGAACTTATTCAAATGTCTGGAAGTCTGCTTTGGAGATTTAGGTATTGGTTTGAAGATCTGCCCAGATATTTGGAAAGTTCTTTGGAGCACATCAGTGAATTTTACCTTGTAAAAACAGTTCCTGGCACAAGTAAAAAATATATTAAATTATAGTAGTACCATCTTTGAGCCTTATCCTATTGTAAATATTATGATATAGGTGCATAGGTATTTTTGCTATTGAGTACAATCCCTAGAAGAGGCCCAGCCTAAAAAATAAACAAAGGTAACTGGTTTCAGATGTCTGATTACAAGGCCCAACTGACTCTCTCTCTAACTGGGAAGCACGTTGTGATGAAACGGGGTGTGTGGACACCAGGTTTGCTCCCTTGGGCAAAGCCTCTTATTTGGAGCTTTATCATAGAGGTCATTCTGAATTCACAGTCATTAAAACATGGAATCAAGGCTAACCTTGTGTGGTTTTCACCATCGTGAAAGAAGGAAAACAACTTTCTTTTTTCTTTTTTTCTTTTTCCTTTTTTTTTTTTTTCTTTCCATAGAGCATATCTATTTTCTGTTGTGAAGCAAATACTACGATTTTCACTATTTTCCACTAAAATATATTTGGGATACAAGTGACTATTTGTCTTAGGTCTTCATCTGCAAACACAAAAGAAAACTGCAATTAAAAGGTATCAACCTAATAAAATATACTTCTGAAGTAGAGTTTATGAATTTGGGTGTTTAACACCAACTTTACTGTTTGTCTCATGTTGGTAATCGCCTTTCAGATGTGGGTATTATACACAATCGTGTGGGGAAGAAAGATCTACTAGTTAGTTTTTCTTAACAAGAAAAATGTTTGTTTATTTGACAAAAATTGATAGTTTCAGGGGCAAGTGTAACTTTTGAAGTGAGTTACATTTAGGGTACTTATGTTAATTATGGTTTTATGGTACTACCTAGGGAATAGTTAAAGATGGAAGTCCATTGTCTTAGAAATGTTAAAAATGCAGAATAACAGGCAATGTCCCTGTCTAAAGGTAAGCAGAGATGGCAGTGGTGGTGCTGCAAGTCTGTAGGAAATCTGATGCTTCTTGTATATACTGGAACAGTAAAGCATCTCCAATTATTTTATTCTAGTAATTTGCTTTAGGTGTGCATTGCTATCAGGGTTTTGAACTGTTCACATTACCCACTGTGTTTATTTCTGTCAGATTTTCCTGCATTCTCCTAATTTTCTCTTCTTCAGCAAATGAACAATTTGCAAGTCAGAGTTGACAACTGCAGAGGCTTTGATATCGCTGACCATGTAGAGGGCAGCTTTAAATGTGCGTAGGTGAAAGCAATGGGATCGTTATTGAAACTGGGGGACCTTACAAGTACTCTGGTTTTGGAATGGAGACTTTGACTTGCATGGAGCTGGTAAGAAACTATTTGGCACCATCTAAAACTTGTGATTTCATGTTCCTTCAGTAGCGATGCGTGGGTGCTATGTAGTGCTCTGCTGTCTTGTCAGCATTTCGGGCTGAAAGCTGCTTTGAGCGAGAAAACCTTCTCTTCTGTGTTTGGGTGGGCACCTGTATGCTTACGGCTTAGGCTGTTCTTGAGCACAGACTAGAGAAAATCCACCTTTTCAGGGTTCCTCTGCCACTCTTCATGGAATATAATAATGTTAAAGTAATTTGATTATGCAAAACCCTTCTTGTCTAGTTTTAAGAGCTTGTGAGAAATTATCTTGCGAGTCAGCCTTGTGAAGTTAATGTCTATGCCTGCTCATGGGGCACTGAATCACGTGGCGACACCTTTTCTTTACTTCTGGAAGCAAAGTTGACTTTTATTCGTCTTGTCTACTGAAGGAACTGACCTAACTGGTAACACGTCCTTCTGTTTATTTGCATCCAGCAGGGCATAAAACGTTAAAAAAAATGCTGTCTTTGTAGGAAATCACCTTCTGTGTGGTGAGTTGTAAACTCTGTTCATCATGCTGCATGTATCTTCTGGCAAGACAGTGACTTCAAGAGCAGAATGCTTTGTGTACTTCCTTAAATAGTTATTTCTTTCAGTTAGGCGTGTATTTAACTGAACTTTTGTGGCAGAATGCCATGATTCAAGAACAGATCTTAGAGGTGGTTTCTGGAAAGATGTTTGTAAGAGCTCTGAAGCTTTTGGTTATCAGTCCGGCTGATACTGACTTTCCCAAATGTCAATGAAATTCAATAGGGCTGGTTTTAAAGGAACAAGGGGGATTGGGAAGAGATTGGCTTTCAGTACGAAGCAGTGACAACAGAAAAATAACCCTTTTGGGGTTTGGGAGGGTACAATGCTGCAATTTTGAACAGAGAGGCTTTTTCAAGGTACAAGAGGGATCACTGATAAGTCCTTGTATCTCCCATGAAGTAACCGACGCTCTGTTTGATTCATTGCCTCAAGTAAGGATTCATTACATCGAGCAGTGCATGGTTTTATTTGCTAAAATTTGTGAGAGAGCTGAGTTTTTGGTGGCCACGGCAGCCAGGGTGAAGGCCCCGCGAGGTGACTTGAGCTGGTGGCGGGTGGGCTGGGGCGGCCTGGGGGCTGCGGCAGGCGGGCTCCGGCCTGTGCGAGGAAAGTTGCAGCTCTCTGATGTTACCATTGCTTAATAAATTATGTGTTAATCCTCCACGTTTTTCTAGAGAATAAGTGTTTCCTGTCACCTCATCCCAGGGTCTTTTAGTTGAGAAAGCAGCATCTAGCCTGAAGTTTGTAGGCAGCGCAACGGTTTCCAAAACAGGGAATATGGTTTTGTTATGTATGACACCCAGCTGTGTGCTGGATGAGATTTTAACTTGGATAATTTCAAATATAGGTACCACATGCCATCGCAGGGATTTATGTTGGCTGAGGCCAACTGTATGAGGTTCAACAAGGCTCAGTGCCGGGTCCTGCACTTGGGGTACAACAACCCCAGGCAACGCTACAGACTGGGGAGGAGTGGCTGGAGAGCTGCCTGGGGGAAAAGGACCTGGGGGTGCTGGTCAACAGCTGGCTGAACGTGAGCCAGCAGTGTGCCCAGGTGGCCAAAAAGGCCAACGGCATCCTGGCTTGCATCAGGAATAGTGTGGCCAGTGGGACTAGGGCAGTGATCGTCCCCCTGTACTTGGCACTGGTGAGGCTGCACCTCAAGTACTGTGTTCAGTGTTGGGCCCCTCACCACAAGAAGGACATGGAGGTGCTGGAGTGTGGCCAGAGAAGGGCAGCGAGGCTGGGGAAGGGTCTGGAGCACAAGGCTGGTGAGGAGCGGCTGGCGGAGCTGGGGTTGTTTAGCCTGCAGAAAAGGAGGCTGAGGGGAGACCTTATCGCTCTCTACAACTGCCTGAAAGGAGCTGTAGCGAGGTGGGGGTCGGTCTCTTTTCCCAAGCAACAAGCGAGAGGACAAGAGGAAATGGGCTCAAGTTGCGTCAGGGGAAGTTTAGGTTGGACATTAGGAAAAATTTCTTCACCAAAAGGGCTGTCAAGCTTTGGAACAGGCTGCCCAGGGGAGTGGTTGTGTTCCCATCCCTGAAGGTATTTAGAAGACGTGTAGATGTGGTGCTTAGGGACATGGTTTAGTGGTGGACTTGGCAGTGATAGGTTAATGATTGGACTTGATGATCTTAAAGATCTTTTCCAACCTAAAGGATTCCATGATTTATAGACTGCAGAGCTCCCCGACAGCAGCAGGGAGAGGTCGGGGTGCCCGCCGGGCTGGGGCTGCTGAGGGGACTCTCGGTGAGGTGTTGTGTACTGGTGCTCGGAGTACACAACAACACAAATACACAACAACAACAACAACAACAACAAAGTGCTCGGAGAGCCAGCTTAGCTCACGTCTCATAGCCTGGATTTTAACTGTCTGCCCCGGAGAGAAGAGGGAATCCTTTAGTAACCATATCAGTTTTAGTGAAGTTGATTTGGCTTTCCTGAATTCCCATGTAACTTTTAGCAAAGGCCAGAAATGATGTTAAATAAATGGCTTTAACATAAACCTGAGTTGAAAAAGTAAAAAAATCAGCATGCCAACGTGTTCATATTTTATTTATTTTGAACAATTTTTGGAAAACTGGCGTTGCAAGATATAAAAAGTAATTGTGCTGGATAATTGAAACATGACAATATTTAATGGAACAAGAACAGATACTTCTGACAAAGTAGACAAAAATGCAGGAAAAAAAATTAGATCAGAGGTTGTATTGAACTAATTGATTGAAAATAGGATGAACTTCAATCCCTGCAGCCGTTTCTCTGGCAGTTCGGGTTTGTGGTGCTGGGTCCAGGCGTGGGTGTGGGCTGCCCAGACTCACAGCCTCCCCTGTGGTGCTGCAGTGGGACTGTCGCCTGACGAGCTGAAAATACGAACTACTACAGCTAAAGTAACAAACTGAGACTGCGTAGCTGTATCTACAGTGCGTGTTCTCAGCCAATGCGAATGTGCGTTATTCATTAGTAGTTAGCATACAATTTTGCTGTTAACATAAACAGACCTAATGACTGTAATGCTGTGTAAAAATAAAATCAGTAATAATTTTTTATCTATTTTCAGATTCCTCTTAAGGTTTCATTTTTAGAGGATTGTAGATTATTATTCCTTGGCAAGACTTTTTAAAGTGCAAAAATATGCAAATATTAAACCCTTCTATTAAAAAGGTATGAATTACTATGAAGTAGGAGCTGCAGGGAAGGAGGAAAATCGCCGTCTGTCTCCATCTCTTCTTTTCTTTAGGACATATAAGGTCACTTTACATACATGGATTCCTGTTTAAGTTCAGTTTGTAAATGGGAAAGCCCCCTTTTGTTTGAGGGAGTTTCCATACACCAACAAGGAAACAGAAGAAATAATAGAAAGCACCTATTACTATTGTTTTTCATGGGAGCTTTCTGGCATAAAACCTGCAATCCAGGATCAGTGCAAGGGGACCTTTCTGCCTGTACCCCACACCTCCTTGCTTCCTGAAGCCCTTCCATTCACAGGAGGCAGAAGCTCTCCCAGCAGCTGGCACTGGCTTGGTGTAGTGATGAGCTCGGTCCGCACTTCTCCATGCATCGTTTTCTTGAAAGCAAAGCGAGGAGCTTCCCCACCCCTCGTTGCAGCAGGCATGTTTCTAGCACTGCCGCAGGCCTGCCCAGCTTTGAACACGTGGTTGCGTGAGGTTTTAGTAACAGCTCCAACACGTTACAAGATGTTTGCTCATAGCTCGGCAGACTGCGGGGCAGGCCCGTAGTAGCTGTAGCAGGTGGAGTGTCTGTATTTGGTAGAAAGTCAAGCTCTGGGTTTTAAGATGCTCGTAATACAGTGGATAATTGACAGATGAGAGGTGGTGAGTGACAGATTAAGAAGTGATGCTCAGCTGTTCTGCCTGGCTGGTGGAGAGGGTCTGGGGTGCATACGTGAGTCATAGAAACGTGTTAAAAATTAACCCATTAATTAATTAATGTTCGTTCTGTAGGTGTTGTGAGTGCTTAAGATGCTGTGGGAGGAGAGACCCAAGGCCTCGTACTGTTTGGCTTGGCCATCCAGAGAAGAGAGACCAGAGATACCCTCGCAATGTGATCAACAATCAGAAATACAACTTTTTCACATTTCTTCCTGGGGTAAGTGTGAAGAAAGTTGCTTTTCATCATCCCGCCCCAATGCTTTCCCCAATTTTAGTGGTTTTACAGTAGACAGGTGCAGAACCTGGAGCTGGAGGGCATAATTAATGTTTGGGTTGTGTTTGGTGGGCCTCCTGCAAAGGCTGCCTTAAGGCAGCAGCAAACCAGACACAAATCTGTCCTGAGTGTCCAGGACTACTGTAAGACTGCCCTAAGTTAGCATTTAGACACTAGAAGAGCACGCAAAAATGTTTCTGGTGGTTAGTTCAATATGCATAACTTCTGAACTCCGTTAATCTCTTCCCTCCTCTTTTTTTCCTTTTTTTAGGTGTTGTTTAACCAGTTCAAATACTTCTTCAACCTTTATTTCTTGCTTTTGGCCTGCTCTCAATTTGTTGTTGAAATGAGGCTTGGCGCACTTTACACATACTGGGTTCCTCTGGTAAGTCATTTACGGCTTATTTATTCAAGAAAGTTTCAGTGTTTGACAAAATTCCTTGTGCTGCCTTTTCTCTAGGATGTAAGTTTGCACCTTAAATCATTTTGTTAGCTTACTTCTTCAGGCCTGCTCCATACATGTAGTGTAGATGCCTGTTCTGGCCTTCAGCTTTACTTTGTAGAAGTTTGACAGGGATGTGCGAGGAGTCTGCCCCCAGCTCGTTCACCATCACAGGCACAGAGCTGTCGCCACTGGCCACGGTGACGGCGAGGGCAGCGGGGCTTCGTGAGTAGCATGCGAAAATGAATGGAGACCAGAGCAAATATATTTCCCTGGCAATGTGTGTGTTGTTCACAGCTGCATCCGAACATAGGGTGTGATCATGGAGGGTCTGCGTGGGTTGTTGCGCCCTCCCAGGGTGATCACGCAAGGGCCAGCGCTTGTGGGAGCTCAGACCAGCCTGTCAACTGCAGTGAAGGACTGAAGGGCACCTTTCAAAAGTGACCTTAATGAGTGGCCATATGCGCAATGACAGCAAATTGTGCTCCCCTGCCAAACAGTTTGACCTGTGCCCTTGGGATAGGTCAACAGGCTGCTTCATAGTTTAACCACATTGTAAAAAACAAATGAAAAAGCTGAGAAACACCCCTCCACAAACCTCCCACATATAAAAATAAATATACAGAGACATAGTCATACTCACTCAAGGTGCAGGTACTCTTTCCTTCCTGTAAACTATTTGCCCTTTTCTTTTGATAGCCATGTGTTTCACCCGCAATCAAAGGAAATCGCTAATAATCAGTTTTGAGGCAGAAACTCCAGTGCTGTCAAAGGACAGAAATAGGAATAATTGCATAGAATGGGCTTCTTAAATCTCTAAAATGCACTGCATGAACCAGTTGCAACTGCTTAAATGCTTAAATATAGGTACCTATATATTTTTTTCTTTTATCCCAGTAAAACTATTATTTTTCTTTCTATGTGAATAACTTCTCTGCTGCACTTCAGCTCATAGCATTGTAGAATAGTTTTGGTTCAGAGGGACGTCTGGTCCAATTGTCTGCTCAAAGCACGGCTGTCTTTAAACTTAGGTTGGTTTAACTCATCTGCCTGAGTTTTGAAAATCTCCAAGGATAGACATGCTTTTTACTTTAAAGAAATGACACAAAACCAACTGAAAAATGATTAAAAAAGCAGAGGGCTCTTTCTAAGACACTACTTGTGCACTGATTTGAGAAATAGTGGTGGTAAAAATTTGTGGCTCTATTCAGGGAGCTGAGGAGGGGCAAAGGAAATTTTTCCTGCCTTTTAGACTTCCAGTACAGTGAAACCCCTGGTAAAAGCCAGAAAGAAGTGAAGGGGAAGCTTTGGGACATTGCTGCTAAAATTTTGTTTGTGGTAAAGCCTGGATCTTGCTGAATTCTCTCTCGAGTGTGTGCTGTATTGCATTTGCTGTATGAATCTAAGGCTAGTTTCATAAGATCCTGTCCTATAAAGTATACATGCACACAGAGGATCTCTCTTTCTGGGTTTTGTATAGGCAGTTCTGACTTGTCTGTGCCAGGTGAGCAATTAGAATTTGGCATATGAACTGCCAGAAAGCAGGATAAGAAAGGTCTTTGTTCGTTACTGGTTGCTAATACGAGTGTTGGGGATGGAATGACATATGAGATGACACAGTCAGTTGACACATGTGGGAATATTTTGGGGCAATTATTTGAAGACTCTTCAAACAGCTGAAACATAAGTTGAAAATAACTGGTGCTTTTTATTTTATTTTGGAAAGCAGATAGGAATTTCTAGATAAATGCACAAATGCAACTTGTAAATAGAAGAGAAATGTTCATTCTTTTCTTGATTTGTTGGTTATGGGAACGAGAGGTCTTCCACGGTGGTGCAAAACTGGTGGTCATGGTCCTGAACAGCAGCGGGATGAAACCCTTTTCTGAAAATATTGTATTAATGGCTTCTTACTTTCAATGTTTATAATTACAGGATTGAATACAGGCATTTTTTAAAAAAGTAAATGCCCGTCCTTGGGTCTCTTTATGTGTCTGCATTTTTAAATACTGCAGAAACATACTATATTGCATTTCAAGACTGTTATTAATTAATCTAGGTCATGCATTTAGATGCATATGCGTGTACTAGAATTAGGGACTATTTAGGCTTATTATAGGATTGTGAGAGCCAGCAGGTGAAGCGTACCTCAGTATTATAATAATTAAAGAAACTGCTCTCCTTCAGTCTTAGTAGCTCTTAGGTCATTCTTCATCATTTTTCTTTGTTTAAAAAGAATGTGAGAATTTGAATTACTATTGTGTTGGGTAGTGTTAGCAATGCCCCACAGCAAGACTTCCCTGAGGTGGCTGTGGAGTCCAGGTTCACAAGTTCTTTGTGCCTGGCTTAACAACTCGTACACATGGTTTTTGGAGGTGTGTGCACAGCCGTTCTTTCTAAAAATGAAATTACTTAGGTTGGAAACTGCAACCCACTGGCAAAATCTGTTTGGGTAGGTGGGTATTTACAGACATTTTCATGTGTTTTTCATGTAACCCTCAGTTTCTAACATCACCCTGCCCCCTTCGTAAAATAAAAAAGTTTCATTGACAGAGAGAATCTGTACATGGGTGCAATTTTCAAGAACACAGGTTGTAAAAAGTTCATTTTTCTTCTGTAACGGATGAGGAATGGTTTAACTGTTAGTGAGTTTGAGCTGAATAGTGCCTAACAAAATAATGACTTTGTGATACCAGCCCCACAAAGAATTGTTTTGCATTAATTTAGTTATTTTTTACATAGTGAAGGATGTGATGTGGGCATTTTCTTCCTGTCATGAGGGAATTAAATGACTGCTCATATTCACAGAAAAGTAGGACTGAAACCATAATCAGACAAATGTGTAATTATACTATGAGTAATTCACATTAATAAGTTTAGAGTGCTTATTTGTGTAGGTTGAGTGTGTATACATAGACATGGATACGCACGCATCTGTATATATAAAAAGGGGTTATAGAAATTTCTATATAGATTTCTATATAAAGAAATCTCCTAGATTAGGTGAGCTAACTTCGATGGCTCGGTGGTGGAGAGAGTACTGAGATTTGAGGGATCCTGTCTTACATTGGATTTTTGTGCAGCCCCTCTCAGTCTTGGGTACTCACCTGGGAAGTGAGATGAAGTATATTATTTACACTCTTCAGATAAACTTTACAAAGATTTGCTTGGGGGGTACTGGCAGAGCGTCACGGTAAAGCTAAGAAATGCAACCATAGTTTTTTAAGCGACAAGTCTGTTGTCAGTTTGCTGTTGGGAGTTCTGGACAGCAATGCATAATATTCCTATAATGATTTAGTGAGAGAAAATAGAATAAGGAAACGCAGATTGTTGGCATTGGTACTGATAAATATTGCTCTTATTAGAGGCAGATGTGATTTTTCCTGACCTTTTCATCCATTCTGTTCTCCCCCCCCCCCCCCCCCCCCCCCCCCCCC